GATGCCAAGGTCATTTTTTTTTTTTTTCTACCCCTGCTACTTTTGTGCTTCACAAAATCCGGACTGAGGCGAGCCTCTGGAGAAAGTAAGCTCATCTTGGATCCATGGGTCTGGGCTTTGGATACCCGAAGGTAGAGTAACATCCCTAATAAGAACGAGATTCTCCCCAGCTCAGCCTTGGAAACCATGAGGGCGAGGGAGAAGGTGAGGTTGAGCGTGTTTCTCTCTACCTCCGTCTCTTCTGACGGGTGCAATAGTTGAAGGTCAGATCTAGACTATGCTAAAATATATGCGGATCCTGCTGTGGCTGTTCTTAGACACAGAAGGATCTTGGTGTTTTCATCTGAATTTGCTCTCTTGTACGCTCTCTCAGTACTGAGAATTTAACCCTGGGCCTTTGCCCTGAGCTACATTCCCAGCGGGGTTGTCTCTCCACCTTTTTTCCATTTTGAAATAATTATTTTTCTTTCTTTCTTTCTTTTTTTTTTTTTGTTGTTGTTGTTTGTTGAGACTGGATCTTGCTAGGTAGTCTGGGCTGGCCTCCAGTTTGTGGTGATTCTCCTGCCTCAGTCTCTTGAGCACTGGGATTACAGTTGCATGCCACCACACCTGGCTATATTTTATTTACTTTTTTATTTTTTTGGTACCGGGAATGAACTCACAACCTCATGCTTGCCAGGCAGGCATTTATACCACTGAGCTAAATGCCCAGCCCCCTTGGCTATATTTTAAATTTTTAATGTTGTTTTAAGTTTTTGGTTGTACTTCTTAAAATTTTTATTTTTATTACTGTAGTATGTATTTGAAATGCATAATGATTATATTCATCATGAGGATTTGATACATGAACATAACACACCTTAATTCTTTTATATCCCTAACCCTTTCCCAGCCAGCCCTTACAATTTTTTTCTTTAAAAAATTTAAGACAGGATCTTCCTAATAAATTGCCCCAGGGGAGTCTCACACTACTCTCTTCCTGCCTCAGGCCTTGGTCTCAGAGTGCTGGGATCACGCATGTGCACTGCCCTCTGTTCTTCAGTTCTGTGTCCATTTTTCTGTTACATAACACTTTAAAAAGTATTTGTTGTACACCTTGGAGGGGAGTAGTCATTTATCCAGCTTCCTGGTGACAGTCATAGGAAAATGTTTGGACACGGGACAGAAAAGGTATGTGGGAAGAAACTAACGCTAAAAAGGAAAGAGCAGGATGCTGTGGTGAGAAGTAGCTGGCCACTGGCCTCACACCGACTGGATCTCCTGACCTGTGATAACTGGGTAGTTGTTCTTCTCTTGAAGTGCATGCATGCTGATGCTGGACAGATGAGTGACTGTGCCAGGGACTTTCGTGGTGTTACGTGACCACGAAGTGGTTCCTCTTTATGCATGGTCATGATCTAGGGCTTCCTCTCCAACGGGTGGCGTGGTCTTTGTAAGGCAGAAGTTTTCATTGGATGACAGATAGTAGAAGAATCCAACCTGCTTGGAGATTTTACCATGACAGATATTTTTCCTAATTTACATTTATTTCTAAAATGTCTGTAATTTTTTTTTTTTTTCCAGTTTACTTCAGAAGTGTTTAGATTGCAAGTGACTTGGATTTGGGGAGCTAGTGTTATTTAGCCCACTGCTCAGAATGTGCTGACTATGTGGTGTCTTGTCATTTATGAGATTTTCTTTATGGCCTAGTAAGTGATCTTTTTTGTAGATGTTTCTTTAATAAAGAATATTTATATCTGCTTCTGGGACTAGTTCATAGATACTGAGTTTCTCTTCTGTTGAGAGCTTCTGCACTAGAGCATGGTTCCTGTCTGAATTTGACTTGCCCGGTCTTTTCATAGTGCAGACTATGAGCAGGGAGAGGAAGGCATGCAGAGAGGGAGCAGTTTGCTGATTGACAGCAGCAACCAGGGCCTGTTGCGCCAAGAGCCCCTTGCTTGGGCTAGCTGTTTGTTTTTGAAAGAGGTGAGATCTTTGTTGTGTTGTCCAGGCTGTCCTGAAACTCTTGGACTTAGGTGATTCTTGTGCCTCTGACTCCCAGGAGCTGGGACCTCAGGCACGGGCCAGCACACCTGGCTTTTGAAGTGTTTTGATGGTTGGGTCATTCCATTCACCTAACATGAACGAGGTTTTTTTTTTTTTTTTTTTTTTTTTTTTTTTTTAAATTGTTAGTACGATAAAGAAATTACCTCCTTAATGGGACCCCTCTATCCCATTTTTGGTTGCTCTTGACTACTTAAGTTCTTTAATTTCATGAAAGGAGATCATTTTAGAATTTGTGTGATAATAAAAAAACATAAAGCATAGCTTTTGCTATCGGTTGATCTGAGGAATGGGCTGCTGGGTTGCAGGGAGAGCAGGGCTTCATATGATTTGATACTTTATGACTGGTGGCAGGTAGCAGGTTAATTTGATTGATTTTTCTCTCTGCTTCCCTCTCTTCTGTCTTGGCATTTATCCTGTTGGCAGGTACAATACTGCTGTGGCTTTTCACTTCATTTGGCTTTTAGGTGCCAGATGCATGGGTTCAAGTCTTGTCTCCACTGCTTGTTAGCTGTTTGGGTTTGGGCAGATCACAGAACTGCTTCTGTGTTTCGGTTTACTCATTTATTAAAACTTTGTAGATTTGTTGTAGGGACTAATGAGATATAATGTGTGTAAGCACTTAAGACAATATCTAGTACTGTAGATGTACCCAGTATGGTCAGTAAATATATTATGATTATTATTTCTAGAAAGTGGAAGGCCTGCTTCACATTTGTCTGCGATGTGCCAGTTTGCATAAATAAAGAAAATTTTAAGTGCCTGACATTTTAAAAAGGTCTCAATGTTAACTACCTAAATTCTTTGAATCACTAAATGCATTAATCTCCTGGGAGTTACTGCAGTGACCACGAACATTAACTATTGTTACTGCTTAAATGATGGTTTGCTTTTGGAAAGGCTATCTTTGATGGATGCTTTCTTAATTTGTACATGCTGAGATAAGGAGTTCTCCATGTAGATGATCTGGTGTTTGGGTTTTATTAAAGTTATAGGATAACAAGAAACTAGGCCAATTAAAATTGCTCTTGATTTTAACCTCTAATATTACATTAATAAGCTTTTTCTTGTATCCTTTGCAGCATCACAACTCCCATTCATCTTTGGGGTCTGAATCCGAAATGCAGTGTTCCTGCACGTGTAATAGACACTTGATAAAACTCTCCGCCTGTGGTCAATTGATTGCGGTACAGGGGTTGAACCCAGGGCCTTTGCGCCAAGCTGTGCCCCCACGCCTTTTTAATTATTATAAACACTAGAGCAGGCAGCATTTAAAGTGAATGCTTGATCTGACTGCCTTTGTTCTTACGATCTAAGACTAGATGTTTTTGAAGTGTTTAGATATAAAAGCACAGAGTAAGACATAATATCATACCTTCACTTAAATCCAAAATATTTCAGTGTAGGTTACATTAGGCTGTTGGAGACCGGGAATCTCATTGCTTAAAAACTTATCTAAATATACAACTTGTTTTTTGTTGAGGGTAGTTTTGATGCTGCATACCTTCAGAAATATTGATTACTTCTTGGTGCCTAATACAGGGTGAAGAAATCCTACCTGCTCTGTTAAGTAGGTTGGCACTGTAGGAGGAAAAGGTCGGTGAGGTCTGGGGTAGCTACGCTAGCACTTAGTGTGAGGAGGGGAGAGGGGCTGTGGAACGGCACCCGGATGATGGGTGTGTGAGGCTGGCCCTTGTGCTGGCTGCTGGAGCTCCTGCTGTAAGGTGGGTGCTGTGCGCAGCTGCCCTTGCTCCCGGGAGCAGGGGCTCCCACCGTGAAGGCTGCTTCACAGTATTCACTGAAGCACCCCGGGGTGACTGCAAGTAACTGTCACTCACGGTTACCTTCTTGAGTAGCACAGAGGAAGCATGCAAGCATGAGACACATTATACAGTCCTAGCCTTGTGCCGGGCAATGTAACTCATTAATTGTGGGGTCTCCATGGTTGTTTATCATTTTCCTTTAAAAAAAAATGAAGAACGGTAATGCCACCTGCTTACTTACTTGTAAGGGTGTTTCGAGGATTAATGAGTTAATTACTGTACATGAAGGCAGCAGCACCTACTGTGGCCATAAGTTTTCTTTGCCTCTCCAGGGAAGCTTCCATGTGGGGTAATCAAATAGTGGAAGGAAGATAGATTGGGGTGGGCTGTCTGTATCTTAGTCCTGTATTCAGTCCAACTGTCAATTATCAGGTTGCTTTCTAGCCTAAAATTTCTAATTTTTTTTTTTAACTGAGCCAAATGTCTCACCTATTCTTTGTTTGGAAAAGGACAGATGTCTCTTCTGAGAACGTATTAATAAAAATATTAGTAGTTTCTCCCCTGCGAGGAAGGAGATGTGTGAAAAGCGGGTAGGTCCCGTGGAGTTTGCTCTGGTTTTCTTGCTGTGGGTACATTCTTCTTGAGAGCTGCTATTGTTTTATTTTGTTGGTTTTCAATTTCCTTTGACTAAGAAATTTCATAGAAATGAAGCCAAAACAAAATAAAATATATTAACACCCAACAATTGCTTTAAAACAAGGTTGTCAGCATGAAATTAAAATGAATAGACTGACATTTCTGCTTTGAAATTTTTTATTTTTATTTTTACTAAAACTAATTTAAACCTGTGAAAACTTCTGGCTTCAATTTATAAGGGAAAGTTTGACTTTTTCAGCATTTTTAGGTTTAAAGGAATTGATATTGGGGTGTTTTGGGGTAAAATTTGGTTCAACCTTCTAATGGCTCTCGGGATTTCAGTCGGCCTTGAGTTGTAGACATAGCAGTTGTGAGAGGCAAAATTTCCGAAGAGATGGATATGCTGTCTCCCCCCCCCCCATGTGTAATTGTTAAAAAGAGCACTATTGTCATGTGAATTCTTATTTTTTTGAGCTTGATTTGAAGTAACTTTCACAGCGAATTCCTGTTACCTAGACATTGATGACGGACTCACACCATTTCCTTTTTTTTTCTTAGACGTTCCAACCTCAGAGCAGCCTGAACTGTTCCTAAAGAAACTGCAGCAGTGCTGTGTCATTTTTGACTTCATGGACACCCTATCTGATCTTAAAATGAAAGAATACAAGCGCTCCACTCTTAGTGAACTGGTGGACTACATTACAATAAGCAGAGGCTGTTTGACAGAGCAGACTTACCCTGAAGTAGTTAGAATGGTGAGTTCCTTGTTTTCGCCGCTGACACATTTAAGCATCTTCGTAGCAACTCACAGGTATATTTATTGCAGAGCGAGGTCACCAGAGGGAAGTGACCTCCACACACGAGAGCCAACCTCTGAGAGTTAAACAAAAGTAGTCAACACTAGAGTTTGAAGAGCGTGGTTTCATGAGGAGGAAATCCAGAACTTTTCAGCTACAACAACGTTGAAGGAATCAATGACTGCAAAATATGAAAACAAGATTGCCAGGGTATTATTGGATTTCTGGCCTGGAAAAAGAAAAGACACAGGAGAAATCAACAAAAGTTTTAGATGTATGTTTGAAAAATATTCCACCTTGTCAGATGTCTTGGTTTTCTTTTTTTTTTTCCTCCCCTTTGGTATATTATACTCGATAAAATTACAATTTGTGGAATATAGTTAAGGCCTTTCTTGGCTTGGTAATTAATCCTTCCTTCATGATCTCTTTGAAATCATGGGTGATTGCATTCATGATTTTAGAACATGATTTTCTACTTTGCACAGTCATTAGGATTTCCAGGAAAAATATTAATATAGTATGAGTAATTGTTTTCTTATTGTGATCATAATTGTATTAGTTTTTAAGAAGTTGAGCCAAAATACGATTATTAGAGAGGGTTTCTCTCCTCAGCTTCTAAAAGTTCTCAGATGAAGAAAGCACATGTCATTTAGAAGTGGGTGGGAGGAGTGGGGAGATGGGTTTCTCCACGGGTGAAACTAAGCCATCGAGTTCTGAGAAGGGTGGACACATCCCTGAGAAGTCCAGGGGGAAACTGGCATTGTTGTATTATTGATCATCCATGGAGCTTTTCTGTGTAACACTTAGCATTTGTGTTCAACAAATGCAAACAGAGACCTTTGGGATCAGGCAGATATGGTTAAAAATGATAATTCAGATTTGGGAAGACACTTGAAGTATCTCCACTTGAGAAACGGTTCCCTCAGATCATATATGAATGCATTTTGAAGAAGCTAGTTTGTAGGATGTAGTGCTAGAGTATTTTGTAGCCATTCTCATTGTGGCTCTTGAGTAGCACTCAACTAGGAGCGATTGCGCTTTGTAGTGAACATATGGCAGTGTCCAGAAACATTTTCTTTGGTTGACACAACCAGGGACAGAGAAAGGTGCTTCCAGTGGGTAGAGGCCAGGGATACTGCTACACACCTTCCAGGGCTCAAGGCAGCTCCCCCAACAGTGATTGGATCTCCACCGTCGGTAGTCCCAGGGTTGGGAAGTGTCACTCTTGGGTTTGCATACTCTCTTAACCTTCTAACCTAATACTCCGACCTTCCTTAGTCCCTGTTTCCTGCAGAGCACAGTCTCTTGGTTTTAGCTTCCTTTGTCTTCAGTCAGCAGAGGTACCCACCATTTATTTCTAACTTTTCTCTTTCTGTGAATAATTCAGGCTTGTATGAGCATATACAAGTGTATTTGTAGATTTTTTTTGTAACAATGGTAGTATTCTCTATATACTTTCTGTACCTTGTTTTTTTCATTGTTCATTTTTTTCACTTAATCACTATATATCAGTACATATGTTCTGCCTATAGCTACATATTTTGTTCTGTAAATGTACCATATTTAAGCAGTATGAGTATCTTTGATTTTGTACCTTGTGAGAATATCTGTATATTTGTATATTTACTTGTAAGAATTTTATTTTATAGAGCACTTATATGTTTATAACAAAACTGAGAAGGTACAGAGATTTCTCAAACATCCCTGTTCCCACACATGCCTAATTTCCCCCATTATCAGCATCACCACCAGAGTGTACATTTGTTATAGTTAATGAAACTACCTTGGCACACAGTAATCACCCACAGTCCATAGTTCACAGAAGAGTTTACTTTTGGTGGGGTGCATTCTTTGAGTTCGGGCAAATACATTGTGTTTAAGTGTGAAATATTTTCATTGCCCTAGAAATTATCTGTGCCACGTTCCTTTAGTACCACCTCCCAAACCCAACTCCCTGGCAGTGGAGATCTTCTGTCGTCCCCATGATTCTGCTCTTCCCAGCATGCCATCTCGTAGGAATTAGGCGGTGTGGAGCCCTTTCAGATGGTGTCTTTTCCTTTTAAGTTTCCTTCACATATTTCATGGGTTGGTAACTACTAATTCATTTCATTAATATCCTATGTATATGTACCACAGCTTACCCATTCACCTACTGAAGGACTTCTTGGTGCTTCTAAGTGTTGGCAGTTGAATGTAAAGTTCCTGTAAAGGTTTCTGTAGGTTTTTGTGTGGATATGTTTTCAACTGTCTTGCATAAATACCAGGGAATGCAATTGCCAGACATGCCGTGCTCCCTAATGCTGGATCTTATGGTAGCAAGTATGTTTAGCTTGTAAGAAGCTACCATACTGTCTTCCAGAGAGGCTGTGTCATTTTGCATTTCCACTGGCGAGAGCTTCCATAACTGATTTATCTTTTAGGTGTCCCCCCCCGTCCCCCCCCCCATTTCTGGACCTTCATATATTCCTGGCCCTTGTCTCATTCTCATCTCCCTTCAAGGGCTGCTTTAAAGTGCTACCACTGTTAACTGGAATAAAAGCCTGGTGCTTTTTCCTTCCTTCATGTCCTCTGCTGTTTGGCAGTCCATCTTTTTGGAATTTGTTTGCTACTTTTTATCCTTTCACATGTTTACCAGAATTTTCGAATTGGATGATATGTATTGAACCTGCCTCTCACCCTGGCTCCCTCTAGTGATGCCTAGACTAGGCCTAGATGCAGTTTATTGAATAAATTCTCTCTTACAATATAGGTATTTTATAAGATTAAGATATTGGGTATCACTGGGTTATATTCAGTTTTTAAACCCAGCAGTTACCATAATCCCCCTTTCTTATGACCCAGCTTGGTCCTAAACCAGTTTTGGTCTCTGAAGGGAGACCATGTTTTCATCTCTTCAGCCAAGAACAGCAACAACAACAGATTCCCTTTAGTTGTATGGATTTAAAATACAATTTAGCTACCTCAGGTAGTCTTAGATCTGTAGCATACATGTTTTTCTGCATTAGAACTGTTAACTTTCTAGATGGTTGTTAGGAGTTTTTAGAGGTGTACTTTTCATATTTATGACATATAAATATATTAGCTACAAATTTTATATGGTATAACACTTAGCTAATCAGGGACATTTAAAATGTATTTACTTTTAGTGCAAAAAAGAAAGGAGTGTGCTTAAAGGCTTGTGACAAGGGCTCACAGTGACCTAGTCACACTTACTAGCACTGGGAGTGAGTTATTGTGTCTTTGGAGCTCGGTATTTGTGGTGCCAGGAAGACCACAGGACTGGGGCAAGCGTGGCCATGGTCCCTGCCCTTTTGCTCCGTAAGCATCCCACCTGAGTAAAGCAGCTTGGCTTGTTCACACAGCAGGGTTCTTCTCCCCCCCCCCCCCCCCCACACATGCAGCAACAGTGGGATTCATGCTCTGTGGAGGACGTGGAGCAAAGTCTCCTGGGTGTCTGTAAGACTCTGTTACGTGGACATTTCTGATATGGCTCATTGGCCCCACTTGTATGACACCGCCTTGAAGGTGATGAGAAGGTTTATGAGATGTCAGACTTCTTAGAACACATGAAGATGTTCAATGAATGATACCATTTTTGTTTAGAGATTTTGTTACCAGATGCTTAGTCATTGATGGGATGCCACAGTTCTGTCAGTGGACTCATCATGTTTGCCATGTTCACAGTGGGGCCATACTTCATCTATCCTGCTGCCCAGTGGCTCTGATTTGAATTCGGTCCTCCTGCTGCTTGAGCCACTTGTGTTACATGCATAACTGTCTCAAAACATGGCTGCTGCTGTGGCCACAAAAAAACCCCAGGTGTTAGGACATTTTGTGCAGTCATGCTTTGTAGAAAATGTTTTTAAGAAATTAAAGGTGAATATATTACCTTTAATTTAATGAAAAATAATTTTGATTATTGTAATAATTTTTTAATTGGCACAGGTAGTATTGATATTTATGTTTGGAAAATATTTACTCAGATTCAAACAACTGACTAGAATAGTTTCGTTTTGTTTTTTGAGTCAGGATTTCACTGTGTGGTCCAGGCTGCCCTTGAACTAATGGCAGTCCTCGTGCCTCAGCCTCCCAAGCACTGACATTACAAACATGCACCACCACTCCTGGCTTCAAGCAACTAATTAGATTCTTTCCATTTATAGGCTTTTTTGGTCAATTTTATTAGTAAAAGATCAATGAAAGCAATTAGATCCATTTATTCTCTCAGTAGTGTAAGCCACTTGATGGGACAGTCACGCTTGTGCTACTCTGGTGCAAGCAGTGGGGTGGTGTTGATCAGCTGTATGTGTTGTGTTCCAGTCCCTTCGTGGTTCTCAGATTCATAACTGCAAGATGATCCTGCTTGTGAAACAGTCATGGTTCCCATCTTTTCTTTCTGCTATAAAATGAAACTGCTTTTGTAAGACTAGTAGGGAAAATGGTAGTATTTTTTAAAGAGCTACTAATGATGTGATGGTTGGGTTTCACAGACCAATATGTAGGACAGGCTGGCCTTGTACTACAAATACGAGGTGCTATGCCATGGTCTTACCATTTATACACAAAGCTGATGCAGCCTGATGGGACTTGTGCTTTGTGAGTTGATATTCCTGTGACAGGGAAATAAATGATAGATAAAAAGTGGTTTCTGAAGCAGGAAGCCTTTCCTAGGGCCTCATAGGATAGACAAGTGTGTTACCACTGAGCTGTGTCCCCAGTTCTGAGACAGGGTCTTGCTAAGTTGGCCAAGCTGGCTTTGAACTCGTGATGGTCTTCTGGCTTCAGCCTTCCAGGTAGCTAAGGTTACAAGTGTGCACTCCATGCCCTGCTGGTGAATAATTCTTAACATTTAAATGAAGTCTGGATGCCTCCTCCAGACTGCTAAAGAAGAAAAGCAGTTCTTTTGATTATAAAGAAGATACTGTACAACAGAACACTGAGAAACATACCCTCAGAAG